AAAAATTTTTGTGGACCCGGATCACGTATGATTTTTATGTATTTCAATTTACTGAATCTAAATCTAAAAGTTACTTAGCCCGATGAGCCGTTCAAATTTGAAAAATAACGAAAAACCCAAAAAAAATTGCAAAAAATCATGAAAAATTGAAGTTTTCGAAATAAAATTCGTTTTAGACTCGGATTGAGTATGATTTTCATGTATTTTGTTCCGCTGTATTCCGCATGTATTTTGTTTTAAAATTAAAAAAAATCTCAAAAAACCAAACAAATCGGGAAAATTGCAGTTACAAATATGAAAAAAAAATCTATAAAATATGATTAAATACTTTTTTTGTATTTTTTCACGCATAAAATACAAGTTGAGAATTTGAAACTATGAAAAATTGTAATTTCTATAAAAAATGACGTATAACTAGAATAAAAAGAACGATTTTCTCGAATTTCAAAATGTTCTTCGTTGGTATCGAACTCTTTTGTTCTCAAGCGATCTACGCAATGAATTTTTTTCCGTTTGTTATTATCTCTTGGTGTATCCCTTTTAAGTATCCAGCAAAAATCTGCCATCGTATTAATATTCCAATTTCTTTGATACCTAGTCTCCATTTCACTTATGTCTTGATGGAATCATTCTTCCTGTTTTTCATTGTAGTCTCTAAGATTTTCAGGAAAGTGGTCAATGTGAGAATCCATGAAGTGTAGTTTGAGGTTCATTAAGAGAACTTAATTTTTGTAATTTGTCACCAATTTTTCTACTAACGACCTATTATTTTCGTTTCTTTGATTTCCTAAAAAGTTTTGAGACACATTTTTGAAACTTACCCAAGCTGCTCTCTCCGTCTCGTTCATTTACTCTATAAAATTTGGATACTGAAATAGAGTTTGAATTTGGGATCCATCAAAAATTTCTTCTTTTGATTTTGCATCACTTTTTTTTCTTTCAAATAGTGAAAACAGAAAATTTTTCTTTCAAATACTGGAAACAATAGTAGTACACATAGTAGTGGTTCACTGGACACTTGAAAGGGATACACCAAGAGATAATAACAAGCGGAAGGAAAATTGACTGCGTAGATCGTTTGAGAACAAAAGAGTTCGATACCAACGAAGAACATTTTGAAATTCGAGAAAATCGTTCACTTTATTCTAATTATACGTCATTTTTTATAGAAATTACAATTTTTCATATTTTCAGATTCTTAACTTGTATTTTATGCGTGAAAAAATACAAGAAAAGTATTCAATCATATTTTATAGATTTTTTTTTCATATTTGTAACTGCAATTTTCCCGATTTTTTTGGTTTTTTGAGATTTTTTTTAATTTTAAAACGTTAGCGGGGAAAGAAAACTTCAGATTCAAACTCAGCGGAACAAAATACATGAAAATCATACTCAATCCGAGTCTAAAACGAATTTTATTTCGAAAACTTCAATTTTTCATGATTTTTTGCAATTTTTTTTGGATTTTTCGTTATTTTTCAAATTTGAACGGCTCATCGGGCTAAGTAACTTTTAGATTTAGATTCAGTAAATTGAAATACATAAAAATCATACGTGATCCGGGTCCACAAAAATTTTTTTATTGCTGTGACTGCAGTTTTTTGCAATTTTTTGCCCTTTTTTGAGGTTTTTTGCATTTTACTCAAAACTGGAGGGTGACCGGGCCAAACGGACTTGAAATTCGCATTCAGCGGGTCGAAATACATGTCGGTAGGTAGGTCCGGCCCAAAATACATTCCACTTTTTTTTTTTTGTATGCCGGTGTTATTAATTATATACAATACATGTATATGTATTATACTTATATTTAATACCTACATATATGTCTACTCATCAATTCAATATTACAAAAAATTATTAGACTGCTAGGATACATATGTAATAGGATTATGTGACGGTTAAAGAGTTATGGCGTATAAATTATAATATAAAAAATATATATGTAAATTTAAATAAGTAATTCATTTTTCGTTAAATTTATGACAGTGGTTCAAAATTGTAAATAATTTATGTAAAGCCATTGTCATAGTGTGTGGTGATAATTCTAATTGCCAATGTATTTTTTTCAATAATTATTAAATTAAATAAATTAATATAATATTATTTTGATATATTTTATTTTTATTCTACCATAAAAAACATTTTTAATCTCCAAAAAAAAAAACCTTTAGCTACGAACATAATTTTTTAAATCAAGATGTCCTCTATTATTAATATATATAACAAATTTATTGAAGAAATAAACATATTTACAGATGCCCGAAGGCTTTTCAGTGCACCTGACAAGCCCGGGTGCTAGCTAATCACACCCACACCTTCTACTTTTCTTCTCCACTCCAACATCCATCCTAACCCTTCTGCCTTTTCTCCCAATAGCTCCTCCAGACTTCCCTCCCACCTCACCATTCCGTTGCATCTTTTTGCTACGTGCTCCAGCGTTTCTCTCTCCTCCCCACACAACCTGCACTGTCTTTTCTCTTCCTCCATCCAATACCTATTTCCTAGCCATTCGCTTCCCGTTCTGAGCCTAGCTATTTCCCTTTTCTCCCTTATTTTCAGCTTCTCTTCCTTCTCCCAGTAAACTGGGATCCCCTCCTTCACTATTCTATCATACTCTATTAAATTTTGACTCTTTTATCATCGCCCTCTTCTCCTGCTTCTGAACGTCTCTATCATTTTCCCTTAGCTCCATCAATTTTCTTCTCTCCTCTCTCCACTCCAGCTCTAATCCTGCAGACGACCATTCGCACCTGTTTAGGTATTTTTCCCTCTCTTCCTCCCCTGCTCTCCTTTCCTCACCTCTCTTTCCACTTTCTCTCACGCATCTCCTCAACAGTTCTCTTCCTGCTTCCGTTCTTACTTTTTCTTCAAAGTTAAAAGCTCTTGCCCCAGCCCTCACTCTCATCTTATCCAAGTCCAGCTCCTCTCTCACTATATACCCTGGCACTTCTCTGCCAAGGCCCATTACCCACCTACCATACTGCTCCTGCAAACTTTTCAGCTCCTTTCTCTCCGTCCATCCCCAAATTTCTGCTCCGTACAACGCTATACTAGCCACTATACTCTCGAAGTAATTTAGTAATTTTCTAAATTTCCATTTCCCTCCAAATCTTCTTTCCCCTATTCCCTATACCCTTCCCATGGCTTGTTTGGCGTTCCTCATCCTCTTCTTAAGATGTTCCTTGACCGTGTTATTCCTTACAAATGTGAACCCAAGATAACAGAACTCTTTAACTTCCTCCACCTCTTTCCCTCCCCACTGCCAATCCCTTTTCTTTTGTCTGCCTCTTCCTCCTCCCTTACTGAATCTCATCATTTTTGTCTTCTCCACGTTCACCTCCAGTTTCCTTTCCTTAAAATATCTCTCGCATGCCCTCATTAGCTCCTTCATTTCTTTTTTGTTGTCCGCCACCAATGCTGTGTCATCTGCATAAGACAATGGCCATATTTTCCTTCCTCCTATCACTATCCCACCTGCCTGTCTTCTTCTGCAAAACTCCTCTAAGTCTGCTACGTAGATGTTGAACAGTGTAGGGCTGAGAGAACATCCTTGTCTTACTCCTTTTCCCGTCCAGAAAGATTCCAACAATTTTCCTCCTATTCTTACTCTGCATCTCGTTTCCTCATATATTCTTCTCACTCTCTCAATCAACCCGTTTTCTATTCTCATCCTTTCCATTGCTTTTAACAGAATCCTCCTGTCCAAATTGTCGAATGCTCCCTTCAGGTCCAGGAACAGAACATATATGCTTTCCCCCCTTTTTCCTTTATGATCTTTTCTATCGTCTTTCTCAAAATGTAAACGTTGTCCATACATCCTCTCTTCTTCCTGAATCCTGCTTGGTTATCTTCCCACCCCCCTTTTTCCTCCACTGACTCTATTGTCCTCTCGTTTAATATCGACGCGTATAGTTTGTAAACCGTGCATGTTAAAGTCACTCCCCTGTAGTTCTTCATATTTTCCTTCTCTCCTTTCTTATATATCGGCGCTATTATCCCTTCCCTCCAATCTTCTACGAAATATTCGCCTCTCCACACCTCTCTAATTACTTCTCTCAACCGTGTCCTAATTTTTCCCCTTCCGAATATCCAGGCTTCGTTTTTTATTCCGTCTCCTCCTTCTGCCTTCCTCCTCTTTAACTTTGATATCTGCAGGTCAATTTCCTCATCCGTAGGTTCCTCTTCTCGTATACTCGTTCCTGTCCCATATCCCTCTCCCAGACCCTAATATTTATTATTTATTATTTATTATGTATTTAATTTAAATGCCAAAGCAGCTAGCCGAAAGGCAAAGTTACAAACATTTAAATATGAATATAAGTACATGTACGGCTATAGCAAATATTTCCATGATACAAATAGAAAAATTTTTCAAAGAAATTTTTTTAAAAACAGAATTTCTTAAGATAAAAATTAATTTGCCACATAAATTTTTAATTACAATAGAGAAACACATTAATAAATAATCTACCACCATCAAGATTAAAAACTATTGCATTAATTTCGTTTTAAAACCCAAATAAAAATAAAAAATCGTAACATACATTGCATCAAATGCACAAAATAAATTTACGCTGGACTGCGTATATTTTTTTTACCTATAATATCTTCAAACTTTTCATATGCATCACGACCAAATAATTTTGCATTACTTAGCAGATTATCCGCCTTTCTAATATATTCACCCACTACTGATAGCATTGACTTAATATGACTTAAACTACAAATATCAACCGAAGAAGGACTCCGTAGTTGTATCAACAATCCAAGGGACATCACCGCGATATTCAGCAACGAAACGTCGATTCCAAGTCACTAAATTGTCTAATTCCTGCTCTGTTTCACTGAAATCAACGGTTTGATTGCCACTATCTCTGATAGTTGCAACTACATTATTGATAGTAATCACTATGCCGCTCATCACGTACTTTCGATTATCATAAATTTCTTTCGAGCCATCTGCTCTGAAGACTACATACATGTGGAAATATTCATCAGGCTCACCATTCAATTGTACGTAATCGCGGTAAATATGGATTGTCAGATCGCGGTTGTTCTGTCGAGTAACTTCGTAGTAGTTGATACCAGATGGTTTGATTGTTACCAGTGATTACTGTGTCGCCTTTTGAAGAATTGAAGAAATGATCATGCAACTTGAGATTACCTCCAGGATAAAATTTTTCCAAAGTACGATCTAAGGTTGCGACGCCATTGTTTGTGGTTGTAATTGAATGATCAATAGAAATTATTTCGTGGGTCAATGCATTTTTAAGTTTAATAGTCCGATCGACGGTTTTGATTCCAGCCACAATTCTTGTGAGTGACTGAGTGAAGTTTGTAGGTGAAATTTCCCGAATTACATCGTAGCCGTCCCATGTGGAGGTTTCGCTATTAAGCCCGACAATTGTGACGAATAGAACAATTGTGATCTGTAAAAATTAATTAAAAAAAATTTACTGCCTTTTATAATTAATTTTATTTAAATAAAGTAACAATTTTTTATTTTTAATTACCATAAATGAAGTACCGGCCATTATTGTTAATTATAACGCAGCGAATCTAATTTGTTGATAACTAGCGTGAATCTGTACAAAGATTGTTCGATGGCTACTGAAGTTTTGTTTAATTTTTATGATTAAGTAAATATTTTTCAAAGTTTCTCTTTCTGTATACATTTTTTATCCAGATAATAAATACGTGCCTGATAATTTTTTTTTGAAAAATATTCTTTTGTTCATTTTTTACATTATCTTTATTTTTTTTCATTAAGATAACTCGTCGTAAAATAAGACCCGGAAATTTTTCGTTTATTGGACACCGAGCTATGTGCTAGGCACGATGATTTATTCTTCGAAGCATAAAATTTATAAGTTATTAGAACCTTATTGGCGTACGTGTCAGAATGTATAGATCGTATTTGCTTTATCAAAATTTTTGAGAGAATAGAAATTAATTCTTAGAGTAAAATTATCCAATACACGTGGAAAAATTTTATTTATGTAAACAGCTGCTCGTTTGAAATAAATATTTTGAGTTTTTAGGATTTTTTTATGTAGGGTAGGGCGGGGCTAGTTGATCGTAAGGGTAAGTTGTGCAATCGAAATATCTCGAGAACTAAGCAACTTACAACAAAAGTGTAAATGGTGAAAAGAAAGGGTTACGAGAGGAGAACACATCGCGCGAAAGTCAACTGCCGTCCGATGTTTAGACTAACTAACAAAACGTTTTCTTTTTTTTTTACGTCAAAAAAAAAAAAAGTGTGTGTCAGCTCCGACGCACGACTAGAGTTTACTCCTTACGAACGATTATAAAATAAATAGATTAGTGAATAAGGGTACATGAATGTATTTCTTATATTACTTAGAGTATGCATGACACATCTACAGATTGATTTTTATTCATTGAGTAATTTTCTCAATTTTGAAATAAATATCAATTGATATAAATTTATATCGCAAGTTGACAGTTGTTGTAGGTTAATATCAGATTAATACAATATGCAATTGAAAGTAAATATATATTAATTATCGTATTCGGCTTATTAAACCAACCCCGGGGTAAAACAAACGAATAGCAGCTAACTGGATCTGAAGTTTTCAAGATTTAAAAATTTAATTTGAGGTCCAATCAAATGCTTTTGTATTCACTGCCCCGGGGTAGGTTTTGTAAGCCGAACACGACAAATGATTATTTGAATCGGAATCTTTAATTATTTGAAAATTTTGAATCGGCTAATTTTACGTAATGCTAGGCTAAGTATCAGCTAAAATTGCTTTTCTAGATTCTAAAACGGCAACATTTACGATTTTCAATTTTACGGAAATTCAATATTTAAAATAATATTATTTGAGAGATGACAATCTTTTCAAATTTCAATATTTTTTTTCGTTTATTTGTTACTTTGAATTATTCTTTAGAATCATTTTCATAAATTAGCTTATGTCAGATTGGCATTATTTTATTAATGCAGCATTTTATTTGAATTGTTTATTTTTAAGTGACTGCCTTTTTAGATGTTCTTTTTCGAAAATTCGCGGATTTTTTCTTTGTCATTTTTTACTTTACGCTCAATTTACACCTAGCGTTATATTCTTTTTGCCCACATTAGCAGTCTTTTTTTTAGGTTTAGTAAATTTGACAAAGGGCATAATTTTAAATTTTCAACATTTAGACTTTAGAAACGGCCGAATTTACAATTTTCAATTCAACTATAAACTTGAATACCTATTTGAATTAATGCGCGCGGCTGTATATATTACATACCTATATATTTTATATAGTAATAAGTTATTACTAATAACATAACATATATAGGTATACTTAATGCGTAAGCTGACCCGCAACATACCCCGTGAACGTTTGAATGCTCGCGCCTAAAAAGAGAAAGTTTGCGCAGAATAGAGGTTGCGCACCAAAAACGTAATGAGGTCATTCATCAGTAGATTTTACCCCTAATATTTTTCTCATACCGGGTGCCTTATATATGAAAATCGATTCTTAAGGAGTAAACTCCAAAAACAGGTCTTTAGAATTTTTCTCCTACACTCGCTTAAAAATGCTATTTCGTTATCACGAAAGTATTCAAAGATGACTTAATGTTTGCCCTTTCGATTATATAAGATTGTTTATTTTTAATTCTTATCATTCTTTTATAACCTAACTTTTATTTTGTTACCTCAATTGGAGCTAGTTGAGCAAGGCGCTGACTGCGTGTTAAACCAGCCCTACCAGATTTTCAATATTGAAAAATGAAATTTTTCTTCACTAAATTAATAATTATCAATTGATTTGTACATATGGTGATTTAATATAATGTGTAAAAATTAAAATAACTCATATTGATATTATATTAGTAAATATATAACATAATTATAATTAATATTGTTATGTTTATAATTATTATTACAATTTATTTTGTTTTCATATCATTCTATACAGTCATTCCGTCTATTTTAGCCACTGCACAACTAGCCTCATACCCATGCTCAACTAGCCTCACTAGTGGGGCACGTTGAGCAATTTGGAGCGCTCGCGTATTTCCGGGAATAACTTGAAAATTTGGACTCGGATCGTTTTTGTGTCGCTAGACCTTTTAAAGAAGACTAAATTACGAACCTAACAGTATATGACTTAATTAAATCCGATGCATCTTCTTAAAGTTATGAAAGGTCGAACCAAAAAGTGATCAACTAGCCCCGCCATATCCTACCTTTTAGTAAAATGACTTTATGACGAAAATCTATCTCGGTATTTTTGAATAAATATTTTTTTTTGTTGGTAAGTTATTTTAGAAACTTTTGACATTTAAACATTTTTTAAACTCGAACAAGAGATTAGTAAAATTAACTGAAAGATTACATTTAAGCTTCTAGTAGCGTGCAGTAGCCTATCGGATCCGGCCCTTGCTTACCAAAGCATTGGACCGGGTTCGAGTCCGGCGTATACCAATGAATATTTTCAATATTTAAGTGTATTATACTGCTCAGCCCAAGAAATAAAACGAGTTCCAATCTCAAAAGTTTACCCCCTACCGTAGTCGCTCATGACCTTAGTAGTTTATGCGACTTTAAACAAATTAAGAAAAAAAAAAAAAAAGCTTCTAGTATAAAGTGCAGAAAAATACATATTACAACAATCCTCTAGCATTTATCAAAAAACAAAATTATTTATTATTTAGTATTACAAACCTAATCTTTCTACGTGTAATATGATACCTTAATTTCGGTGAGACAAGTCCAATAAAAGTGACGCATGGAGTATGATACGGATAAAGGGGTTGTAAGAAGAATCCATTTTGTACGCATCATTTTCGACCCTCTTCTCATCGCTAAAAGCACGGTCCGATAAAAATTTCATGAGTAATATGTGAGTAAATACATAGTTTTGTTCTCACTTCAAAAAAAGTAATGCGACTCAAATTTTTTAATTTTTCTTAAAAAAAATTCGAATTCATTTTTTATAATTGTAAAATTTTAATTATCGCTTTAAATTAGTTTTTGTATTCTTGTATCTCGAATATGGCGCACATAGGAGTTCTTATCTGGCACCATTCACCGTTAAAGTTGAGCGAGACTTGTAAAATATAATAAAATATAACAATATAGAAATCGTAATACTATCTCAGCGGAGTTGGAAGTTGAATTATACTTATTTTATTTTTTCACTCTAGTTTTATTTTCAGCTCAATGAAATAAAAATCTCATTTAATTAAATATTCATTAGAAATTCTTAACAAAGTTTTTATATTTTTTATTTTATTCTTTTTATTCAACATGAATGCATTTTCACCTGACTGAATATTTAGATTCGCGATTTCCGACGTTATCGTTCGTGTTTTCAAAATGCATTCGTTCACTGAAGAAGAACGTGTCGATAGCGTCCTATATACATTTAATCGCCCAGTAGCATGACAAAGATTTCCACGGATTCGTTCAATTTTATTTTACATCACAATTTTTATTTCGCTGTTCTAAACACTCGTAAGGTCATCCATTGATATCGATTGTCAGACCGTAAAAAAAAATTTCTTATTGTTATTGGCCATAAATTCTGCAATCCAACTGGGACAAACGAGATAAAGTTTTACCTCCACGATTATTTTCAAATTACTCTTGTATAAACGCGAGTAATACGGTAAGTGCATTTTTATTTATATTTTTTATCCAACGTTGAACATCAATTAATTTATATATTTTTCGAGCATTCTGGATATATTTTATCGATGGTTAATTTTAATGAAGCGCTATTCACTGATCAAAAGTTCAAGGTTTTGATCATTAAAACCACAAAACGACGCAGCTACAAAACAAGTTTATTGTGATCTCGGATGAAGTTAACCAGACAGAAGGATACTAACTCATTTGGATTTAATTGGGCCATCGAGGAAAATCAGTTTAATCAAGATAAGGTATGTATCATAAATAAAATCTTTTTTTTGGGGAAGGTCTTGTGAAAAAATCTCATGAGAATTCGCAATAAATCACGAGACTTTTTGACGTCAATTTTATTGTTAATCTGGAATAATAAAAATGCAAAGGTACTGATAATCACAAATTTGAAAAATAAAATTATTTTTCAAAGAAATTTTTTCTTCAATAATTGCTAAAACTTTTTTTATTAATCTACATTATTAAGAGGATGAGAAAAATTTTATGTCCAGAATAGTCATATGATAAAATCGGTTTTTTTAGATAGTCAATTTATTATGATAAGTATTTAGGCTGCATTCGAATTGAATTCTCTATGGCTAAATACATAATTAAAAAATGACCTTGTATCTTGAGAACTATTGATATTTTCAAAGATATACGCTCATCCCGATGTTACACTCATCAAGACCTTTCATTTGAGTACCCACATCAATTTTTCATATATTTATATATATTATATATATATATATATATATATATGTATACACGAAAAATATATCAAAAATGCATGTGGGTACTCAAATGAAAGATCTTGATGAGTATAACATCAGGATGAGTTTATATCTTAAAAAATGTCATTAATTAAGAACTGATTTTGCTATCTT